ACTCCAAGGCATCATTGTTGAGTTCTCTCTCTAAGGCTATTCTCTTTAAGCAAACATACTTCCATCTGTTTGCATTGTCAGGATGATGAAAAGAGATGTTGTCTGTTGGGACTTCAGGCACTCTAGCAATTTTGCTGGAGGGGAGCTTCCTTCTGATAGGAGTTTCTTCAATATCAATCTCAAATTCTGATTCCTCATCAGAATCAGAAGATTCAGGTTCTTTTCTCTTCTTAGAGATTGGTTGTCTAGCAGTATGCACCTGGGCCTTCTTCCCTTTTGTCTGAATACTTTTCTCAGCCATGCCTTCAGCCTTGGATTTCTTAGCATTAGGTTTATCATTCTGACTACTCTTTCTTTTCATCAATCTCCTAGCTATGCTAGGGTTCACATTAGCAATCAGATCATTATCTGAGTAATCCTCATCCACATCAATGATAGGTGGATCAGCAGCCTTTTCTAAAGGGTTCTGAATGTTGTCTTTTTGTGTCACAACATTCTCAGTGACATCTACATTCTCAGAAACTTCCACATTTGGACTTTATGATTGGTTTAAAGGGACAGAGATCCCCGGTACAGATTGGTTGCCACTCAGTATACTAGTAACCAGCCTAGCAATAGCTTGATGAACTTGAACTGATCCTTCTCTATTAGGTACAGAAGACGAAGGATGAGAAGAATTACCAGAGGCTGTAGCTTGAGCTCTTCTTGCATGTCTGGTTCGGAGCTTTTTGACTTTGGCTGGTTCAGTTGCCATCTCTCTGAGAGGAGTGACCTCAAGAACTTCAGATTCTATGCATGTGGTGATTGCCCTAGAATCTTGGTCAGATGATGACGATGATGAGGATGACGAAGTTGCCATGGTTGAAGACGATGTCTGAGACATTTTGATTGACTTTGAGTAATGGTAGCAGTTTGAGAAAAATCTTTGATTGTGAGGAGGAAACAGGTTGCAAGGACGAGAGAGGTAGGGGGTAAAAGGGAGTCTTTTCAACTTCTTAAAGATTTTGAAAGAATTGTGAAAGTATATGATTAACCCACTAAAGATAGACTTAATAAAATTAATTCCTTCAACCTTTGTTTTAAGCAAAATTAATTGCTATAAAATCTTATGTTGGTGAATACCCAACCTGCCCCTCAAATTTTCAAGTTTATTTCCAACAAGAGCCTTGGTAAAAGAATCAGTCAGCTGAAGCTTAGAGAAACTATGTTCCAGTTTAAATGACTTCTTCTCTTCAAAGTCAATAGGTTTCAAGGAAATGTTGATTGTATTCAGATTGTCACAACACAATGTCACAACATCTTGTGTGACATTGTACTCAGGGAGCATCTGTTTTGACCAGATGTTTTGAGAACAGTTTTTCCTAGCAGCAACTATTTCCGCACAGAATTGGGAAGGCATTCTTTTGATATGAATCATAGTTCTGGTTGATTCTTGAATAATTTTCTGTTTGTCCAGTCCATTTTGATGGAGAGTTATAGGAGAGGAGACTTCAAGCCTCATTTCTTCAGGGAAACAGAATTTATTAGACTTGTTATTTTCAACATCCTTGTCAAGATGACTTATGGTTCTGACAACACATCCTTCTTCAAGTTTATTTGCCACATCACAGATATTATCATCCTGTAGTTTTGGAGTTCTTCTGACTGCTTCCATAGAAATAGCTCTTTTCATTCTTCTTAGATGAAGGGGACCAGGCTTATGCTGCCACAGTTTCATCTCTTTTTCTTCTTTGATAATTGGACACATAGTGGAGATATCAGTGTTCTCAGGCTGCCACAAGTAGCAGTTATCTTTGGATCTGATTCCTCTCATTACAACTTCTAGTTTTTCATTAATTACTAGACATTCAGATCTTGAGAAGTTGACCTTGAATCCTAGATCACATAATTGACTGATACTAATGAGATTAGCAGTCAACCCTTTTACCAGCAGTACTTTATTCAGACTTGGAACTCCAGGACAGTCCAAATTACCAACTCCTTTGACTTCACCTTTAGCACCATCTCCAAAGGTCACAAAACTGGTGGTGTGAGGCATAACATTATTGAGGAGATTTTTGAATCCAGTCATGTGTCTGGAACATCCACTGTCAAAGTACCAGCCTTCCTTTGCAGACACTCTCAGGGAAGTATGGGCTATCAGGGCAGTAGCCTTTTTCTTCCAATGAGGAGTATGTGGTACCCTTTTTGGCTTAGGTTTAGCACCTGAGTTCTGATTAGGATATCCATGTAATCTGAAGCAGAAGGGCTTTATGTGGCCATATTTCCCACAACGATGACATCTCCATCTTTGGTATTTTTTCTTCATGTATTTCTGATGTTGAGAGGTGTGTTGAGACATCTGCTTTGAAAATTACTTAACATGCCTGATCTTCTTGTCTGCACCAGGTTTCTTAGCTTCCACAAATCCTAGACCAGATTTGTTTCCCACATTTTGTCCCACTTGTAGGATCTCTTCCAATTTATCTGATCCATTGGTCAACATCTTGACAGATTTTGTCATTTGGTTCAGTTGTGAGTTCAGTAATTGAACTTTCCCTTCTAGGTGACTTATAGTTTCAAGATCTGCCCTTTTTTCCGCCTCCAGCTTTATAATGAGTTTTGACTGTTTCTCATTCTGCACACAGACTTCAGCACTTCTGATACACAATTTCTTGTAGGTATCAGCAAGTTCTTCAAATGTCACTTCTTCATCACTAGTGTCACTTTCAGAAGTACAAACACTAGTTAGAGCAGTAACTAGTTTGGCAGATTCTTCTTCAGAATTACTTTCTGAATCATAGTCAGACCAAGTAACAGTCATTCCTTTCTTTTGTTTCTTAAGAAAGGTAGGACATTCAGCTCGAATATGTCCATATCTTTCACATCCATGGCATTGAATACCTCTGCCTTGGTTTCCCTTATCTTCTGACCTTGGTCTTCTGCTGGAACTGTCAATGTCAGAGGGAATGTTATGAACATTAGACCTTGACTTTGGATCTATTCTTTTGATGAGCTTGTTGAACTCTCTTCCAAGCATAGCAATAGCTTCTGATATATTTTCTTCTTCATCCTCCTTGTTTTCAACATCAGCGTTGGATACAAGTGCTATGCTTTTGTTCTTCTTGTCACCATTATCAGTGATCCCCATCTCAAAAGTCTGAAGAGACCCAATAAGTTCATCCACTTTCAACTTGCTGATGTCCTGGGCTTCCTCTATGGCAGTTACCTTCATTGCAAATCTTTTAGGCAAGGATCTGAGAATCTTCCTTACCAGTTTTTCTTCTGACATCTTTTCTCCCAGTGCTCCTGAGGTGTTGGCAATCTCCAAGATGTTCATGTGAAACTCATGAATGGTTTCATCTTCCATCATTTTTAGATTCTCAAACTTGGTGGTCAACATCTGAAGCCTTGACATTTTTACTTTGGAAGTGCCCTCATGAGTAGTTTTGAGAGTGTCCCAAACTTCCTTGGCCAGTTCATATTGATGTACTAGTCTGAAAATGTTTCTATCAATTCCATTGAACAAGGAATTTAAAGCTTTTGAATTTCCTAGAGCTAACTCATCTTCTTCTTTACTCCAATCTTCCTCAGGCTTCAGACTGATTGTCCCATCTTTCTCAGTTATGGTGGGGTGAATCCATCCTTTGTTAGCAGCTCTCCAAGCCTTTTTGTCCAGAGATTTTAGGAAGGCAATCATACGAGGTTTCCAGTAGTCATAATTAGTTCCATCCAGAATGGGTGGTCTATTTCCAAAAACTCCTTCTTTGTCCATAGTGCCAGAAAGTGATATCCCTAGATCTCACCCAGTAATACAGGCAGGGTGCCTGCTCTGATGCCAATTGAAATTTTGGCTGCAGAGACTCAATGTCACGTTCAATGTTATGACACCGTATCTGACTTACTATATGACAGTAAATACAAAAGCAATAAAGAACACAGTCAATTGTTTACCCAGTTCAGTGTGCAACAACACCTATTCTGGGGGCTACCAAGCCAGGGAGGAAATCCACTATAAGAGATGTTAATTCAGGAATAAACCAACCAGTTTATCTCCTTCACTTAAGACCTACCCAATGCAATTCCAATCTAAGTACAACTTAAACCTGAGTTCCTACTCATTCCCCCTCAATCACAGCAGTGATACATAAACCAATTTGACTTAAGAATTGATGAAGACACTCTTCAAAAACAAACACTTGATTAAGCTTCACAGCATTTTAATCAAGCAAAACAATCACTCGTACTTCACAGCTTTGAGTGATGCACACAGCTAACTTGACTCTGCTTCACAGCTTTAGTCAAGGAACATTCAAACACTCTTGCTTCAAAGCTTTGAGTGCTACACAGCCCTTACAATTAGAAACCTATTCCAAGTCACTTATCACAATGATAATTGCTTGGAGTACAATAATCAAACCTATACAGATTACAAATGATCTTCTGATCAATAAAGGGATACCTTGTAAAACAGCAGCTCTGTTGAATATATAGCAGCTGCAACTTCAGTTAGGGTTTCCACAAAAACCTAGGGTTAATTCCGTTTGACCTAAAGACCAGGTCACAGGGCTTTATTAACCAGGTTAGGGTTGAGCTAGGTTACCCCTCAGAAAACGCAGGATTCTGTTCAGGAAAGACTGAGTTATTTTCCTGAAAAAACTCAGACTTATCCAACCTGCAAACCTGTTAGTTCAGAACAGGATGTCATAACATCTGTTATGACATCTGAGAAAACCTGTCTACTGATTTAGCAAAATGTGATCATTTTGCAAAATGCTCAGATACACACTTATAAACATCAGTACTTGAATTACAATATTTTTCTGCAAAGGTACCTAATGAGTCAGTACAAACTAAACTAGAATGTTATGACATCAGTCATGACATTCACACATACACTTGGGATTTACCAAAAATGCAAGCCAATACCTAAACACCTACAACAATATTCAACTCTATATGGTGGTTATCTTCTTGTGTGTTTGTTTCATCTCTCAACATTGAAATTCTATTCCAAAATCATGCAATTGAAACTTTTGATATTGTACAATGGCTTGTACATTTCCTTCTTCTATATTGTGCCTTTAAAAATCTTGGATATTTGGGAACTCGTAGTGGAAAAGAAGGTTTATCTGAGCCGCTGTTGGCTCAAAAATTTGAAACTAAACAAACATTGGTCATGTTACTTTTCTCAGCAAGTTGGTTTTCTCTTGGATGAATTCTTTTTCAGTTTAGGTTACTCAAAGCCACTAGATCTTGAAGAAATCCCTTCCCTTGTTTCTGAAGATGAAGCAAATATGGCCTATCAAAAATTTGTCCATGCATGGGAATCACTTGTTAGAGAGAGAGAAAGGAATAATAATACAAAGAGTTTGGTTCTTTGGTCTATAGTCAGAACTTACTTAGGAGAAAACATATTAATAGCATTTTATGGATTAATCAGAACTGTTTCTTTTGCTGTTTCACCTCTAATACTCTATGCTTTTGTTAACTACTCAAATAGAACTGAGCCAGATCTTAGACAAGGTCTTTCCATAGTTGGTGTTTTGATTGTCACCAAAGTGTGTGAGTCTTTGTCTCAAAGACATTGGTTTTTTAACTCAAGGAGATCAGGGTTGAAAATGAGATCAGCTTTGATGGTAACTGTTGTACCCCAAAATTTGCCCTCCCATATTCTTCAAGAAATTGCCAAGTCAAGTCACAAAATTCCCCAAGGGTTGTGCAGTTCAACAGTCTCCTATACAGTCAAAACTAGGGTTTGTGTTCTGATCAGGAAGATAAAGTTTTCAAAGGCCCAATCAAGTCTCATATGCCTACAAATATGGTCAAGCATCCTCATATCAAGTTTCAAGGCATTCAGCTCAAAATTGCACAGTCAAAACCCTAAATTGCACTACAGTCAACTGTAGGGGCAAAATGGTCATTTGATAGTCAAAAGTTCAAATTTTTGGTCAACATATCATTTTGAAGCCACAAACATCATTTGATCAATGCTTGATCATGATTCTCAAAGTTTGGCTCAGAAATCATCAAAGATGCAAAAGTTACTATATTTGGACAGTTGAAAAAGTCAACTGAAATTGACCAGGGCATAACTTTCACATGGATTATCAGAAAAATTCCATCCAAAGCTCATTTTGAAGAGAAAGACATTTCCTACAACTCATCTTCATACTTCAAGTCCAAGAAATGCTCTCACAAAAAGTTATCAATTTCAACATTATAGGTCATTTTCAAAAGTCAACAAAAAGGGACTTTAAGTCAAAGGCCATAACTTGAGATTGGTAAATCAAAATGACATGGGACCAAAGACATTGGTTATAGGACTCAAAGATCTTTCCAAAATGTCCAAGAACATGTGAAAAGCTTAAAAATTGAGCAAGTTATGCCTTGTGGAAATTGGGAAATTTTTGGGAATTTTGAAAAGTCAACAATGGTTCAAATGACCTAAATTTGCTAATGGGCCCATTTTTCTTCCATGATTCATCATTCCAAGCCTATGCACGACCATTTGGCCCAAAGGGAAGTATTTTCTCAATTTTTATTTATTTATTTGAATTTATATTAATATTAATTCATTTAAATTATTTAAATATGTGAAAAATATCAAAATTGCCTTAACCAATCTTTTTATGCATGTTTAATACTCAATATTTCGTGTAAATACAAATGGGGAAAGATTTGGAGCTGATTGGCATGATTGAACAAAAATGCACATGGAAAAGATATGGAAGATCCTTAAGGAAATCAAATATTGAAACCATTGAATACAAGAGATTTTGTTCAATTTTCTTGACCTAAAAGCTTCACTACATATGCCTGAATAAAACCCTAAGCCTTAGAGACTGAAGGCTGCGCAGAAAACAAAAGTTCAAAACTTGAAAATTCTTGAAAAAAGTTCAAAACTGAAAAGCATTCTAGAGGTCGATTCAAGGCTCCAAACTTGGTTCAATAGCTTCCTTGACAATCTCTGAACGTGTGCCAATCCCTAACATCAACCAAAACGCAAAGAATTGGTATAATGACTCAAAACTGTACAGATGAAAACTTGGAGTCGTGCATCATGATTTAAGCATCTTTCTTAAGTTTTATTTGTTGATTCATGATTGTTATTTTGTTCTGATGCTAACCATGCCAATTAATTTCGTTTTTATGCAATATATGTGATTTGGCCATTGATGCCGTCTAGGGTTTGCAGAGCTCCCAATTAGGGGTTTCTTAATCACGTAAAATCAGGCCACCTCAATACCATGGTTGGATTCAGTGCATCAAGACGAAGAAATCTTGACCCTCGCGCCCAATTTATGGGCATCATAGCGCTAGTCGCTATTTTCTGGAAACTAACCTTAGGCCACGCATCCAAAACCGTTGCCTCTGCTTTTGTTTTACAGGAACAACGAAGGAGATGACGTGTTGTCCATCAGCGATTGGCCGGTTCAAAAGTTGGCGCGCGTTGCCCACTAACACTTTGTTTTCTTTTATTATATTTAATAGCCATTATATATTAAATTGAAATCAAGCGCTTCAGTGGCACAGGTGTTAAGCTTGCAACGTCCAAGACCTGGGTTCGAACCCCAGGTCTGAATAATTTCGCTATTATTTTTCTATACTCATTCCTATGCAGGTTCAACTTTGAAGATCATCATATACGCCCAGATCAGACCATACACGCATCCAGCAAATCCAATCCAAAGGCCAGGATCCATGGAGTACCGTGAGTGCTAGTCAATGCCTAGGCATGTTGTTTGGAAAGTCAACAAGACCATGTCTTATTGGGCCAGGCTTTACCATCAAAACCTCCATATTGGGGCTACCCCCCTGGTTTGCTTTTCTTTTCATATTTTTTTTTTTTTTAATTATTATGTTATTTATTTTCATTGTTTTAATTAATTAATTATTTTTTTTTACAAAATATAAAAACTTCATTAAAAAATCAGAAAAGACCAAAAATAATAAATATTTTTATTATAATTATTTTCTTGTAAATAAATTAACATATAATGAATTTAGTTTTAATTAGGATGTTTGCAATTTAATTCTTTTCATATTAAATAAAAATAATTAGAATTAGGTTAATTAACGATTTCTATTCCTTTTAATTTTTCCTCTTTATCATAATACTTATTTATTTATTATTTTCATAATTAAATTGTACATAAATATAATTAGGTCTAAATTAGGTCAAATTTTAATATTTTCATAATAAACTTAAAAAACATTAGAATTAGGTTTAGCTCGTTATTTTAATTTTAATTAATTAATTCTTTTTTCTTTCAAATCCTAAAAAACACAAAAATACTAAAAATCATTTTCTTTCTAATTTTAATTTTAACTCCTCATTAATTTAAATATTCTGCAAAAGGGTCCAACGCCCTCGTTCCGATAATTCATTAATTTCGCATATTTTATTTCCTATTATAATTATGTAACTCTCCCGAAGCATTGTAACAATTTAACTTTTCGCACTTTTTCTTTGCTTTATTTATTTTTCTGTCAAATCGGGTCCGGTTTAATTTTGGCGATGTGGACCCGCGCCATTTGTAATAGCTGTAGATTTATTTTCCCGCAAACTTTATAACTGTTAAAAAGCATGCAAGAATGAATGTCTTAATTAAAATCAAGCGTAGATCACTTTAACATGACAAGACAAATATCAATGAAAACGACACACGAATCGCACACACCACCCCTAGGGTACGCCTCACTGTTGCCTTGCCTTTCGAAAGGTGATCGTCGAGTAGAGGATGTCTTAGTAAGTCCTCATGATCCGGGAACCTGGCATGAGGGTAGCTTCTAAGGTGTCTTCCCATTGCTCTGGTGATCACCATGTCCCGAACATCGAATTGACCCGAACACCTCCAACGGTGGTGCTACCTACCTCTCAATGGTGGGATGGCACTACTTTAAAGGACATTTACACAGACGAATTCCTTAAGGTAGGTAGGTTCTCAAGGATACTTGCTCTAATTTCAAACAAATCAAAACATCTTTTCACCAACACATTTTTCAAAAGCTTTCAAAGCAAATTTTTCAAACACTCTGACGTACGAGTCGAACTGAAATTTTTCAAAGAAACTTTTTTAAAACCCACATTGAAAAGCAAACAAACAATTTTGAAAACACAATGAGCAAGTATCTAAGAGCCCATGGATAACCATGGATAGAAAGGGTGCTAACACCTTCCCTTTCTATAAACCTACCTCCCGAACCGAGAGCAATCTCTTTAAGGAATTTTTCTGTGCTTTTGTCCTTTCCATTTGGAGAAAATAAAAGACGGTGGCGACTCTTGCTTCCGCGACATTTCGCGAACCAGCGTTAAACAGTCAGTTCCAGATCCACCGATCACAGAACTGGCGACTCTGCTGGGGAATAAAACTTAAAGTGAGGTGTACCTTAGGGCTAGGTCATAACTATGTTTTCACTTGTATTGATTTGCTTGCTTTACTATTGTGGGTTGCATCGGAGATACATAGATCCTAACCCGGATCTGGGGATACCCTGTTTAGGTAGCGTAAGCTGTGAGGGACCTGTCCGGCGTAGACCGACACAGGTGAAGCAGTGGCTACGTTGGTGTGGCACCTTAGTCTGTACCGATATCCCTTGTGTCGCAACGAGGAGAATATGGGTCTTCTAAGGAGTCATTAAGCACCAACAACCTTAGAACCTTAATTGACACAACTTGGCCTTTAGAATTGTAGCAGTATGCTACGCCCATTGAGGCTAAACTCTCGTGATGGTTCTGGCCGTAAGAAAAGATTGCGATGCTGGAGTTATGACCGATTGAGGGTAGTCAATGATATTGGGATCCTCTAAGAACCCGGTTACTTTTGATTAGGACAGGTATGAACCAACAAACTGAAAGAGGGTAGTACCTAGACCTCATGCTGGCCTAAACTTTAGGGGCTTGCCTTGTGTGACTTGTGTGCCTTACTATGTTTGCCTTTGTATCTGTATGTGGTGTGCTTTATCATAACATCATAGCATCATGAGCATTGCATGCATCCTGCATAAGAACTGACCATTTCAAAGACAAGAGGGTTTCATCTTTGCTCTGTTTTGTAGGACATTATGATGCCTGTGCGAAGGAATACTATCCGGTTCAACTTTGTTCGTTCACCTGAGTTGCTTGATGAATTGGTTAGTAGAATTCCAAACACCACTTCCTTCATTCAGAGGCATGGCTCTCTTCTCAGTTTAGTCACTGCAAAACGGGATCAACAGTTGATGAGTGTTCTGACCCAGTTCTATGACCCTCAGTACCAGTGCTTCACCTTTCAAGACTTCCAGCTGGTCCCTACCCTGGAAGAGTTCTCTGATTTACTTGGCATCCCTATCTTGGATCAGACTCCCTTTACTGGTTGGGAAAAGACCCTCAGGCTTGAGGACATTGCTGCAGTTCTTCCTTTGACCCATCAAGAGGTAACAGACAACTGGGTAACTAGAAGCGGAGTTAAGGGTTTCTTGGCCAAGTTCCTAATTGGCAAAGCTAACAATTTCTGGAATGACCTGGACTTTAGGGCATATGAAGACATCTTGGCTCTCCTAATCTATGGGTTAGTCCTGTTTCCTAATCCCGACAACTTCATCAATGTCACTTCTATTAGGATCTTTATGTCTCAGAACCCTGTGCCCACTCTCTTGGGTGACATTTTGCAACAACTTCATGCCCGTACTACCCGAAGACGAGGAACCCTATGGTGTTGTATCCCTTTGTTGGTGAGGTGGTTTATTTCGCACCTCCCTAAGTTCGTACTGAAGAACCAAGAAGGAAAAGGTTGGGCTCATAGGTTAATGTCTCTCACCGATAAAGACATCATTTGGACTTGCAGAGGTTTGGATGAGATAGCTATTATTGATCGATGCGGGGAGTATCCTAATGTTCCTCTGATTGGTACTCAAGGAGGGATCT